TTCAAATCAGACTCCTAGCTTAATCTCCAGAGTATCAACGATACATTGGTATGACTCAAATGGGAGGTTAATGAAACAACCCAAAGCAAGAGAGGGTTAGGGTTTTGTAAACATCAAACCTTTAATCCCTTTCTGGCGACAAAGATCGATGAGGTTGACGAAGGAATCGCGATGTTGGTGTGAAAATTCCAACCAAATCAGACGACCAATAATTTCGCTCAACTGCTGTAGATGATTAAAATTAAAATGATGCTGCACCGTGGCCTTCAAAATGGGTCAGTGAAGGTTTTGCGAAAAGAAAAGGAGAAGAGAAGGAAAAAAAAAATAACGGTGGAGGAGAGGTAGATAAGGATGAAGAGAATGTGTTTTTTTTTTACTGGTGCAGTCTAGTCTTAAAGTGCTCAGAAAAAGCTAAAATTCATTTAATGGTTTGAACCATTATCTGAAGTATCCATTCAGAGTTAAAGCACCATTTTGATCACGAATAGAGTTCATCCTATGTGTGCAGGTCGGATTGGGGTCAAGAAGACAAAGGATAGGACGATTAAAAGAATCTGACCGTTGTCAGATAAAAATTAATTTATATTTAGGTACATAGGAATGTATTGGGCTTAAACAAAAAATGGGCCAACGAATAATACACCAATTTATAAATATATATATAACCCACTTCAATTTTTTATATTTGGGTTCAGCTACTTGTAGTATAGCCCATCATATACTTAGCTCTCTTGAACTCTATTAATGGGCTCATCTATTGTTGCTCTGCTAATAATATATTGCTGGACCTATGAAATTAAATGGATCATACTCAGAAAACAATCCATGCGAATACTTTGTGAAGCAAATTTAACCCAGTAACTCAAGTTTTTTATTATTTCACGTGCAAACTTGCCCAACACACACTCTAAATTAACTTATCCTTTCTTTTGTTTATTCTTTTTCCAATTTAAATCTCAAATGCACACATTAGTTCCATTCAAGTCACGGGTTGCTCCCAATATTCACTCACCCCAAACTTAATTATTTGCTGCAACGCACCACCCTTTATTTTATTTTTTAATGGACAGCAAACAGAACAAACTACCTCTTTTAAAAGTCAACACTCAGCACACACAAATTTTATATCAGGGTATGTGCAAGTTAATGGGCCAAGAACTGAATTGTGCTTAGCATAGGTAGCTAACTCCTACCCCAAACTTAGTGATCTGCACAAGCTTAAAATGTTCACTCAGCACAGCAGAGCCATTTTAACTCTCAATCAACTTTTTATTTTTATTTCACAGAACAAATTCTGCATTGGTTTTTATGAAGACAGCACTAATACAAAACAGTAAAGAAAAATTAAGACTCCTATATAGCATCTATACTACAACAACTATATGACAAACTACAGACTTATGCGGACTTTATACAAAACAAAACGAAACAAAACAAAACAAGACAAAACAAAAAATTTCTAACTAACTAACTAAAAGCTACTACAACAAAATATGGAATGATTAAGAAGGCTCTACCAGAGGAACAATTGCCTTGTCTCTGGTTATAGGCTCACCTTGATAGATTTTTAGTCTCTGGCCATTTACCTTGAACCTCCTACCATCTTTGGCACATTGAATCTCTATTGCCCCACGTGGAAAAACTTCTACAATTTCAAAGGGACCAGACCATCTTGATTTCAGTTTGCCAGCGAAAAGCTTAAGCCTAGAATTAAACAATAGCACTTTTTGGCCTGGCTCAAAACACATTTCCTGAATTAGATTATCATGCCATCGTTTCATTTTTTCCTCGTACAACTTAGCATTTTCATATGAGTTCATTTTAAATTCATCTAAGTTGTTTAACTGAAGCAACCTATTTTCAGAGGACTGTTTGTAATCCATATTCAGCCTTGCAAGAGCCCAGTAGGCCTTGTATTCCAACTCTAATGGTAAGTGACATGCCTTGCCAAAAATGAGTCTATATGGTGAGCAACCTATTGGAGTTCTATAGGCTGTTCTATATGCCCACAGGGAGTCTTCTAGCTTTAGTGATCAGTCCTTTCTAGAAGAAACAACCACTTTTTCTAAAATTTTCTTTATCTCCCTATTGGTAACCTCCACCTGCCCACTTGTTTGTGGGTGGTAGGGTGTTGCCACCCTATGTTTGACACCATATTTTGTTAGGAGACTCTCAAACTGCCTACTTATGAAGTGGCTGCCTCCATCACTAATTATGCATCTAGGTGTACCAAACCTTGTAAAGATGTAGCTCTTTAGGAACTTGCACACTATTTTGGTTTCATTAGTGGGGGAGGCCACTGCCTCCACCCATTTGGATACATAGTCTATAGCTACAAGAATGTATTTATTACCATTTGAAGGGGGGAAGGGACCCATGAAATCTATCCCCCACACATCAAACACTTCAACCTCAAGAATAGGATTTAGAGGCATCTCATTCCTACGTGTGATATTGCCAGTCCTCTGACACCTATCACACTTACTAGCTATTGTATATGCATCCTTAAAAATGCTTGGCCAATAAAAGCCAGATTCCAATACCTTGGCAGTAGTCCTTACCCCACCATAATGACCTCCATATGGAGAGCTATGGCAGCTGTGCATAATTTGGTTTTGCTCCATTTCTGGAACACATTTTCTCAAAATCTAATCTGCACATTTTTTAAATAAATTGAGGTTCATCCCAAAAATAAAATTGCACATCATGGAGAAATTTCTTTCTCTTATGTGGGTTCAAATCATCAGGCATCACACCTGCAGCCAAGTAATTGGCAAAATCAGCATACCAAGGGGTGCTTGAGGCACTTATGGCTAACAAAGATTCATCAGGGAACATGTCCCTGATTGGTACAGAATCTTGTTCTGTTTCATTGGACTTAAGCCTAGATAAATGGTCAGCTATTTGATTTGGGTGCCACTCCTATCTACTATTTTTACTTGGAATTCTTGTAGGAGTAACATCCACCTAATAAGCCTTGGCTTACTGTCTTTCTTTTCCATTAAGTATTTTATTGCAGAACGGTATGTGTGTACAATCACCTCAACCCCAAACAAATAGCTCCTGAATTTTTCAAATGCAAATATCACTGCAAGGAGCTCTTTTTCAGTCACAGTATAATTCAATTGGGCACCTTGCAAGACCTTGCTTGCATAATAGATGGAATGAAAAATCTTATCCTTCCTCTGCCCTAGCACAGCACCTAGGGCCCACTCACTAGCATCAGTCATCACCTCAAAAGGCAGGGACCAATCTGGTGCCACAATTATGGGAGCTGAAACCAGTTTGGTTTTTAGCTCTTCAAAGGCCTTCAAGCAAGGTTCATCAAAATTAAAGGGTTTATTCGCCTCCAATAGACTACTTAAGGGCTTAGCCACCTTAGAGAAATCCTTTATAAATCTTCTATAAAACCCAGCATGGCCTAAAAAGCTTCTTACACCCTTGACATCTCTAGGTGGTGGTAGCTTCTCAATGAGTGCAATCTTAGCCTTATCTACCTCTAAACCAGATTTTGAAACCTTATGGCATAGGACTATACCCTCTTGCACCATAAAATGACATTTCTCCCAATTCAAAACCAAATTAGTTTCCTCACATCTTTGTAAAACTCTAGACAAATTCAGCAAGCAATTTTCAAATAAATCTCCAAATACAGAGAAGTCATCCATGAAGACTTCTACATACTCATCAATCATGTCATTAAAAATGGCAGTCATGCACCTTTGAAAGGTGGCAGAGGCATTACAAAGCCCAAAAGACATTCTCCTAAATGCAAATGTGCCATATGGACATGTGAATGTTGTTTTATGCTGGTCCTCTGGAGCTAAGGGTATCTGGTTATAACCAGAATACCCATCAAGGAAGCAAAAATATTCTTGGCCAGCAAGCTTGTCAAGCATTTGATCTAAGAAGGGTAAGAGGAAATGGTCTTTTTTAGTGGCTGCATTTAATTTCCTAAAGTCTTGACAAATTCTCCAACCAGTTATGGTTCTAGTTGGAATAAGCTCATTTTTTTCATTGAGCACAACTGTGATACCCTCCCTTTTTAGGGACACAGTGCAAAGGACTTACCCAACTACTATCACAAATGGGATATATCACACCAGCATCCAACCATTTAATCACTTCCTTTTTTACCACTTCTTTCATGGTTGGATTGAGCCTTCTTTGAGGCTCAATAGAACTGGCATTTTCATCAACTAGCCTTATCCTATGCATACAAAAAAAGGGCTAATGCCTCTAATATCAGCCATGGTCCAACCAATGGCTTTCTTGTGATTTTTAAGCACATTTAGGAGCTGATTTTCCTCATTATTTTTTAGGGCAGCAGCTACAATTACAAGGAGGGTATTATCTCTTCCTAGAAAAGCATATTTAAGGTGAGTTGGGAGTTCTTTCAACTCCACTTCAGGTGGTTCCACAATGGAAGGTTTAAGAGGTTTGGTGATTCTCTCATGAAGTCCTAGGGACTCAAAATGTTTATCACCAAAGAACTTAGTAGGATAAGACTTCAATGCACATGCATGATCATGATTAGATGCATTATTCTCATAAAATTCAAAAATGGCAGAATCACATGCAGAGTTATTTATTTCAAAATTTTCTTGTAAATGGGCAGCAACCAAATTATCAATTACAGATATAGCAGAACAATCATCAACATCATCATCTACATATTTCATGGCTTTAAAAACACTAAAGGTCATAGTGTCATCATTTACCCTCATTGTTAACTCTCCTTTTTTAACATCTATCATTGCACCCCCTGTAGCTAAAAATGGTCTTCCTACTATATTAGGAATATTTTCATCAACTTCACAATCAAGGATAATGAAGTCAGCTGGGAAAAATATATTTCTCCACTTTTACTAAAATATTTTCCACTTTTCCTTCAGGGTATACAATAGACCTATCAGCTAATTGGAGAGTTAATATTGTGGGTGCATATTTTATTCCTAATTGCTTAAAAATAGAAGCAGGCATCAAATTAATGCTAGAGCCTAAGTCACATAAAGCTCTCCAATATACCTATCTCCTATAACACATGGAATAGTAAAAGAACCTGGATCCTCCATTTTAGGAGGTACTTTTGTAGAGACAATGCTGCTGCATTCTTTGGTAAGTGCCACTGTTTCGAACTCTTCTATTCTCCTCTTTCTTGATAGAATGTCCTTCATGAATTTGATGTAGCTTGGCATGTGTTGAAGGGCCTCCACAAATGGAATGTTGATCTGGAGTTGCTTGAGGATGTCTAAGAACCTCTTAAAGTGCTGCTCTTGGTTCTGTTTTTGAAGCCTTTGTGCAAATGGAATCTGCCTTGCCCTTGATCTTGGTGAAATGCTTTCATTTTGCTGTAAAGGTTTGGCTGGCTCCTTTGATTTAGGTGCTGATTTTTCTGTTTTGCCCAAATCACCTTGCTCCTTGTTGTTTTCTGAATCTTGCACTTCAATTACATTAGGCTCTTCCTCTTCTTCAATTGGTTGAACATTTTTTTTCTGCCAACTTCCTCAAAGTAGAAGGCCTAATAACATGCTCTGGCTGTTCAACCTCTCTTCCATTTCTCAAATGGAGAGCCTTACAAAATTCCTTTCCCTCTCTTCTTGGTGCTTCAGTATCACTAGGAAGAGTTCCCACCGGTCTATTGGTAAGAGAGGATGCAATCTGCCCCATTTGTGTCTCTAAGCTTTTTAAGATTGCTCCATGATTTTGAAGCATGGCCTCATGATTTTGCAGCATCCGGTTTGACCACTGATCATTTAGAAGAGGCTGAGTTTCTGCATTAGATTGCCCTTGCTGATCTTGAGGCATTTGTGAGTTGAAACCGGGTGGAAATGGGACTTTTGGCTGATAAGGTTGCTGCCCTCCTTGGAAGGGCTGATTCTGATTTCTATTTCCAACATTTTGATGGTAATTTTGGCCCTGATTCTGGCCAAAATTCCCACCTTGTTGCTGCCATCTGTCTTGGTTATAATTTCCTCTATTATTGTAGTTTCTGTTATAGTCACCAACATAGAAGGCTGAAGAAGGGTTGCTTGGGCATTCTTCAAACAAATGGGCACCATAACAAAGTGAGCAGATTGGTGTTGTTGCAGCCACTTGAGCAGGTGGTTGCTGTTTGGTCTCAGCCATTTGCTTGACTAAAACCTTGAAAGTGTTATGCATTGCTGCCATCTCAGCTGCCATGGAAGTTATTTTAGTCACTTCATAAAGTCTAGCTGCCTTCTTTGGAGCTTCATCTCTTTGTTCAGGCCATTGGCAGCTGTTTTGGCTTATTCTCTCAAGTGTCTCAAAAGCCTCTGGATACCTTTTTAATAAAAACATTCCATTGGCAGTAGCATCCAAGTGAGTTTTGCCTTGGTGACTCAATCCTCTATAGAAAATCTGAATGGTAGCCCACTTAGGAAGACCATGGGTAGGACACTTTTTAATCAGCCCCTTAAATCTAGTCCAGCTCTCATGGATTGACTCATCAACATACTGTCTAAACCCTGTGATGTCATCCCTCAAATCACACACCTTTGTGGGTGGGAAAAACCGCATAAGGAAGGCTTCTCCAAGCTCCTTCCACGTGGTGATGGATTGTGCAGGAAAATCTTCTACCCATTCTTCTGCTTCCCCAGCTAGAGAGAAAGGAAATAGCCTCATTCTCATGGCATCTGTGGACACTCCATGAACAGAAAATGTATAGGAAATTTTCATAAATTTTGTAATATGCTTGTGGGGATCTTCCTTGGGTAATCCATGGTATTGAGTCATGGATTGCAGCAGCTGTATCATCCCCGATTTGAGATCAAAATTCCCCTCCACTCCAGGATGGACTATACCAGGAATTACTCCATCAAGTGATGGAATAGCATATTCAGCAATGGGAAGCTCTTCATCCACCATAACTAGAGCATGGTTGCCATTTCCATTGCCATTGATGTTTTCTCCATTAACAGATCCATGGTTCGATTCTGCCATCTTCAATAATTCGGCAACAATTGTGTAATACTGCTTGTTACTGTAATCAAAATTGAATTCTGCAGAAATCTCACAAGAACTTGAATTTGGAGTCAGTAGATAACAAGAAAAATATGTAAAAAGGAAAAAGATTCAATAAAAAAATAAAAAAAATAAAAATCAAGAAGTCTAAAACAGAATCACAAAAAGAAAATAAAATCAAACACCGTTCCCCGGCAACGGCGCCATTTTGTTTGGTAGTAATTTTTCAAAAGAAAGAGTTATCGTTCTCAGGGAACAGGTCAAAATATTTTTCCTTTTATTTTTCTGAATTAAAGATTATGAAATTGGAACTTAATTGGTTTTTTTTTTTTTTTTTTAGAACACGAGAGTTTTGTAATCTGTATCAGTTATCAAAATGTAATCTAGAAGTAAGAAACTGATTTACGAGTATTAAAAGAATTCTGGGTATGTCTCAAATCATGGATGACAAAAATATTTGCATTCCTGCAAATTTCGTACAGTGCTACAACGAGTTTATCTCATTTCTGAGTTGCTACGGCAGGTTTAGTTGAATCTTCCCAGAATCAACATTAAGGTTCAAGAAGATCTTTTCCTAAAGCTTCT